CCCTGGCAGCTGCAGGTGACAGGGCCAGTGAGAGCCCACCGTGACCCTCAGGCTCCTCTGGCTCCTGTGGGACCCGGCGCCAGTGCTCTGCTGCAGCATGGACGCGGGGCAGGGGGGCGGGCTGGGTATAGCCCTGGCACCCACTGCTGCGAAACCCTGGGCAAGGCCCCCTGCCACCAGCTCATGCCGAGGAAGAAACTAGGGGCAGACGTAGGTGCCCTGCCCCACAGAGACGCACCGTCATCCGGGCAGCATGGACCAGCTCAGCTTCAGGGGTGTCATGGGGGCAAAGCAAACATCTGCTAAGGAGAAGCGCCCTGAACCCTGTGATCTCTGTCGGGGCTCCTACTAGGCCGTAATCCCAGTGTCCGCCTGGGCCCAAGGGAGGGCTGGCATTCCCCCAGCCCACAGGCTCAGCTGTCTGTGTGGAGCAGGCCTGGCCCAGAGCCTGCACAGGTTGGGCATGGACTGTGGACAGAGCCCTCTGCTGCTGCCTCTAAGGACACGTCAGGGCAGGCCTGAGTGAGGGGCTCGGGGTTCGGGCTGCCATCAGACTCTACCTCTGCCCAGGAGGGCATGGGGCAGGTGGACATGGATGGGGTGGGAAAGGGGGCGGGGTGTGGGCCTTTGGAGACCAGGGGCGGCCCCAGGAAGCTGCAGGACGAAGGGCTGCTCCCACAGCTGGCATTGGCGCGTGTCTCCCACCAGTCCCCGGTAAAGCTCATCACTACCTGGAGCCGGGTGTCTTTTCACAGAGGGACAATGTGGCCCAGGACGGCAGAGACCAAGTGGTCAAGGGACACTCCCATCCCTGTGGAAACGGGACCACGAGCTGGTCTCTGAGCGGACCGGAGTGCACTGTAAACGGCACCCCAAACTTGGAGCTCCACCTCCACGTTCCCTCCACGGGAACAATGGGGAAAGATGAACCAGCGGCTACTGAGGCCTCTGATTGTGAACGCCTGAGCTTCAGCTCCCAGAGCATGGCCTGGCTTCATTCTGCAGGGTCATGGCCTGGCTTCGTTCTGCAGGGTCATGGCCTTCCCCAGGAGCTGGGGCTGTGCTCCCTGCAACAGGGCCTCCTGCCCTATTCACAGAAGGGAGCCTGCCCCAGAGCCTGCCCCTCCAACACCACCGCAGGTGCCGCTCCTGCCCCGTGTTCCCACAGCCCCCAAGCACCCTCCCTAGCAATGGCAGCCCAGGTCAGGCCCCGCAGAATGTGTGGGCCCGGGGAGTCCCACCCCCAGCCAGGCCAGACCAGCGCCTCCCCACCCTCTCCAGCCACCACAGCCAAAGCCCTTTAAAGACCACACGGCCTTTAACCACCTCAGGGCCCAGCTAACTCTGGAGCCTGTGGTGCTCATGGGGCGTGGAGGAGGGGAGGGTAACCCAAGGAAGTCCTGCAGAGAGTCCCCCTGGCTGAGGGAGGTATCCACGCAGCCCACGCAGGGGCAAGGTGGGATGGCAGCGAGGAGGCTGAGCTCCACCCCAGAGCACAGTGCTGCTGGCTTCCCAAGCAGGGCCCTTGGCACCAAGCCCATGGGTCGCCTAGCAACGGGGCAAGGCATTGCAACAGCAGGAGATGGGGGCTGGGACTAAGCCAGGGATGGTACAAGGTGGGTGGAGGCTGGAGAGGGCAGGCCAAGCCAGTGGGCCCCAGGCACCCCGTAGCCTCCGGTTACCAGCCCTGAGCCTGCCCCCACCCCCGGCAGGGAAGGACCCTGTCCTGGCAGTCACGCACCCCCCAGCCCAGACTCCAGCCACAATCCCCCACATCACCACCTCCTCCCTGCAGCCTCCCCCACTGAGTCTCCACCACCACGCCCACCACGCCTCCTCTACCACCCCCTGCTGCTCTGTGCAGGGCCACGACCCCACTGTCCAAGGACACAGGCCGGAGAGCAGCCAGCCAGCAAGTCTGGCAGGTTCCCGCCTGAGTCTGCCCTGGCTCTGCCAGCCTTTCCCACAGGGACTCTCCTGCCTGCCTGAGAGGGACAAAGCAACCCATTTCTACCAGCTGTGTGTCCCCTGCCATCTCCAAGACAGCCCAGTGCTGTTCCCCAAGGAGCTCACAGACCCGGGACATCAGCCTGAGAGGGCTGTGACAGGGGCACCTGGAGGCTGTGGGGGCCCCGACATCCCAGGAGGTGGCTCGGTGGGTGGCGTCAGGGCAGGAGAGGCTGGGGCAGGTGCTGGCCCTCAGGGTTGGCCTACCTGTACGAGGAGCTTGTCACCCTCCAGCAGCTTCCCCTTGGTCTCCAGCTGCCTGCCGTAGGTGGACGAGGGATCTGTAAGGACACGAGAGGAAGAGAGGCCCGTGAGCCACAGCAGACGGCCCCAGCCCCCGCCCTCGCGGGGCTGTGGGCCTCTGAGCCTGGGTTCTTGTGCAGAGAAGACGAGGGTCCCCCTCTCTCGCCCACCCTGGAGGAGATGCTTCAGGCTGAAAGGACTTCTCATAAACATGGCGGGGGGGGGCAGTCTGTCCCGGGCCAGGCTCCAGGGAGCCCCGCTCGCCTACGCAGTGGGGAGGTGGGTTCCTGAGCACCCCAAGTCAGCCTGGGGTTCTTAGCTGAGTCTGGACTGTGCAGGCCACCCAGCCTGCAGGTGAGCCACGCCTTTCCCACACAGCTTGGCCACTGCGACGGCAGCCAGGAGTCAGGCCTGGGAACCTCCTTCCCTGCACCCCTGCCCCATCGCAGGCCCCCAGGTTGGGAATATGGGCCAGGGCGGGCCAGGCGGACAGTCCTGTACTGTTCTGCTGTCACCATGCTGCCCTCCCTCACCACCTGCTTCACAATCACATCAAAACACAGGCAAAATCCCACCCTACCTACCCAGCCCTACCCTGCCACCCACAGCCCTGGCTGTGCCTCCCCACCAGGCTGGCACTGGCTTGGCTGGCAAAGCATTGACCAAGCTGCTCCCAGCCAGGCCAGGCCTGGGTGGAGGGCACCTGCCTCAACAGAGGCCAAGGACAACGAGGCCGAGGGGGACGAGGAACGCAGGCAGGGAAGAGGCAGCAGGGCAGGTGGGCAGGGGCCCAAACAGTAACTGAGGGGTGAGGAGGGGCAGCAAGGCCCATCCCAGCACCTCTGCGGGCCAGGTGGCAGCATGAGTGCCTCAGGGCAGCCACACAGCCACCTGGTGAGGGCCAGGCTGTTATGCCTCTTGCCAGAGGTCACAGCCCAGACCCACCCCCGCGGCCAGTCACCACTCCTCATGCTACGCCCACCCCCAACGCTGCAGCCCCACCTCAGAAGCAACCGCAAGTCAGACCCAAGCCAGCTCTCCAACCCCCCTTGGGGGACTTAGGGTCAAGGCACAGACCCCAGGGGCTTGAGTCCTGGGTGGGCAGAAGGGGCTCGAGTGCAGCTGGGACAGCCTGGAATTGCTGTGTCAACCATGGGAATAATGAGGCACCTGTCAACTCTGCACAGGGCCAGCATGGCTCCAAACAAGCCCCACCTCTCAGTGCACGCCACACCCCTGCCACACCCCGAGTCCACAGGCTCAGGCAAGGGGCAGCTGTGGGGCCCACGTGCTGGCCACAGCCTACACGCTCTCCTGCGTGCCACACACACGGGCACCCCTCACCCTGAGAGTCATTGTCCGCAAGTGCAGCTGAAGGGTCCTCTGGAGCCACTTGGCCCAGGGCCCAGCAGAGCATGGGGCTCCGCCCAGGGCAGGAACGGGGTACTTGGAGTACTCAGAGTCTGGTCAGGCCCCGTGCCACAGCTGGGGATTTGCAAGACCAGACTCCACGCCTCCCTCCTGGTCTCTGCCTCTGAATCCCTGGAGGAGTCACCTCTCAGGAATGTGAGCAGAGGGAAGGCTCTGCAGGCCGGGCCAGGCAGCCCTCCCTCCCAGCCAGCCAGCCCTCCCAGCCCTGGGATGACAACAGTGCCCCACACAGGGCAGCTCGGTGGGGGGTGAGCCCAGCTTCGTGTGAAGCTGACAAAACAAGGGGCCAGGAAGTGACTGACACTTCAGGGAAGCCAGGAGAGACAGGATCTGAGCCCAGGCCTTTCCCTCGGGCCCTGCACAGCAATCCTGAACCTGGATGGTTACCTTCTTACACTGTCTTCACCCCCAAGTCTGCCCAGGCCCTGGGTTTACTCAGTCAATCAACACCATTAAGCATTTCCTCCCCCTGCCACAGGCTGGGGCTGTGAGCACAGGGAGGGGGTGGTGAGGCCTGGGCTCCCTGAACCTTCATGTCCTGCATCCAGTTCAGGAGGGCTCCCTGGGGCACCAGCCGGGCTGCAGAGGAGCAGGCAACCGCCCTAGGCCCTTCGGGCATTCTCCTGGCAGAATTAAAACAAGGATAGCACTTGTGCCCTGTGTGCGTGCCCCAGGTGGGTTCAGGCGGGAGGGAGGGCCCACTGACACCTTGAAGAGGATGAGCGGTGTCCTCTCCTGGTGCCCCCACATGTGAGCAGGCGAGCCCTCTGGGCCCCTCCCCCACCACAAGCCCACCCCCATGGGTCAGGCCTCGGGACCCGGAGTCTCTGGCCGCCCTGGGCAGAGGAGACAGCACCATACCTTGAAGAGAAGCTGGCACAGACTCGGACATTAGACACTGTTGTAAGTCAACCCCAAACCTATCCTCGGGGCAGCCACAAGCCCCCGGCTCATCACAGCCACCCCACAGAACCCCCATGCTGATCCCAGGCATGGCCCAAGCAGGACGATCCAGCCACCTGTGTGTGACCAACAGCCCGAAGCAGGACAGGAACTCGAGCACTGCCTACAGCCGCGAGCCATCCAGAGGCGGGCACCTGCCCAGCCATGGCCCTCTGCTGGTTTCTACTGCTGGGCAAGGAGCTCCCAGCACTTCCCGTCTTAGACAGTCTGAGTCCTGCACAGGAAGGCAAGGCCACACCTCCACAGGACGCCCCCACTCCTGTCTGGGGAGCCCCCTTGTCACAACCAGGGCCCAACACCCACCTCCCAGGGCAGCAGGGAGGGGACAGAGCAGAGACAGAGCCAGCAGGAGCAGGCACACGGGCCGCCATCCCATAAAGCCCCCAACGCCCACCCGCCATGGCCAGCACCAAACCTCACGGCCCAGGTCAAGGGGCTGGCCCGACTGAACTCCTCT